CAAGGTTAAACGGGCTAATTATAGATTTAGAGAAAACAAAATATCATCACCCTGTTGGTATAAGTGGAGTTTCTATAAGAATTTATAGATATGTAAGACAGCACAACAAACTCCTAAAGTATTTTGTTCACTTAACCTTAATAATCATTAATAAGGTGATTTTCATTGCTTACTATTTTTTTCATCTATAAAACCGTTAGAAAGAAACAAATCATTCAAATTAATTATTAATCAATGAATTTGTATAGATACCAATGGTTAAAATCATTAACAATATCATATTTACTTGTCTCACTGAAACTACTCTTTAAGACTAAACTGGTTGGTATCTAAGCAAACTAAAGATAATTCACTTGGTATTGTTTTACTTGAATCTTCTCATTGATGTTTTAGGACTGAAATTGATTAGTCTCTGATCGGTACTGAGTTCGAGTCCCAGAGTGAACATCAACTCTGAGATGCAGGTACATTCAGCTGACGAGTCCCAAACAGGACGAAACGCGCGTCCTGGATTCCACTGCTAGCCACTATCCATCTTTGCTTATAAAATAAAGATAGTTCAGTGAAGGGAAAAAAACTTTCCCAATTACGTTATATACTAAAGCTGTACAATCATATATATGGTCATTAACAAAGTTATCTAAAGTTTTTATTATTGAATGTAAGTTACAATGTATACTTAAAGGTAATTAGAAGTATTATGATGAAGATAATTGATACGACGTGAAGAATAAACAAATAAATATCAACATCAACTCTTAAAATCAGGAGTACTAAGACCATAGTAAAATAAGGAATTGGATATATCTCTTTTGAAAACACAGAAAAGGCTTGAATGGATTAGTTATTGAAGCCTCAGTCATTGAAACTTTTTAACATTAGCTCACTTTAGCCCGGATATTTTTACGTAATAGATTATCTTGGATGATAGTTCCGGTGGAAGCATGTGGCCAAAATTAACAGGAAGTTCGAGAATAGACCCATTGACTAACCTGTACATCCTGTTTTAATAACCATGAAGGGTTGTACTTGCATACGCGTTTATAAGGTACATGCTTTGTACTCTACAAGAGCAAACAAAATTATAGATGCGGTTTAACGTGGACCAGGACAACAATTTATTCGTAGGACATTCTTGAGTTAGCTACATACATGAGAAGACAGTTAAGTGTTACAGTGAATTTTCTCGTAGATCTTCGTGGATAGCTTTTCGGTATCTTTGCTGACATATACCCCATGGATTTGATGCTTGTAAACAAAATATTCTTAGGTACCGATTGGATGCTTTCCTTTTGATTTCAGGTTGTCATCTATTTACCCTTGAGTAAATCATTCGGTATACTTTATTTGTTTAACTCATCGATGTATCTACTGACGTCAACGTCAAACCTGAATTGAATGTCGAAAGCGCACCGTAAGATTGTTTAAAATATTGATTTTGCTAACTGTAATGTAATTAAATAAGAAGTGCTTTACACATATAAGAGGAAGAAAGAAACAACATGTAACAGAACTGTCCTCTTTTCAGATACACTTGAGTGTATTGAATCCAAAAACTCAAAAGGACGTGTATATTTGTCTCGATTCTGAATAAATTTTGTAAAGTTTTAATTCAGTGCAACTCAGTTATCTATTGAAGGTCTCTATACTATACTTTGAAGGCTAATATTGATACCCGAGTCTCCAAATAGAAACAGATGAAGGAGGATTCAGAATTACGACGTGGATTGGAAGCTAATGTTGTAATTACTAGTCCATTGCCGCACGTGTAACTTTAAGAAACAATCTTTGTTACTGTATTAAAAAATTGGTCATTGGAAGCATTGATCGCTGGAATCCAAACTCTCCAGAAAACTTTGTTCTTGATTATAGGAGAATTTTAATGGTAGTTTTAACATACTGTTTTGATACAGTTTGAAATAAACTTTTATTATCAGAATGGGTTTTGTGGAGATTTTTAGAAATTTCACTTGTTGAAATCATGAGTCAATTGAAGCTAGACCACCATGGAAAACCTGGAGGCACTGAACGGCCGCTTCGTCCTAGTATGGGACTCCTCAGCAATTTTTATGTCGATGTGAATGAATAACACGTGAATCATTTCCTAACGATAAATTAACCGGATAACTTGTTTAACTTCCGATTTCGAATTAGAAACTAGGCATTTTAAAACCAGCTCCATCAAAGTAGATGTTAAGAAAGCAATTTTCAAATTTTATACTTAACCAGTAACCTTTTGAGTCATGATATGAGTATGTGGTGGTTAGAATGGTTAATATTTCAACAACTTATGGTATAGCTCAAAAAATATTTATCCCTATTATTGCTCTAGTGGCCAATACAAACAACTAAACTACCCTTCTATGATTTCTAGTAAGGTACCTTGATTTCAACCAAATTTATGATGGAAACAAATACTTTCTGGTAGCTGTAAATGGTAGTCACCATATAGCACGAATTCAGTGAACCTTTAAACGTCAGTCACTCGGTTTCAACACAGATGCTCAGCAATAGTTTGTTTACAGAAGCCTCGTTAATTTAAATTTAAAAATAGTTCATAAATAACAGTCAATTAACCATACTCAGTTTTATATTAACAAATGTCTTTATTTATTGAGATTTAGAAAGTGATGTGAACCATTTATGTATTTTATCTACGTAATCATATGGATTATGAGTCTGAATCATAAACAAACCTATGGTCATTTATCTGTCCTTTTGGTGTTTTGAGCTTTGAAAACGTGGATTTAACTGTTAAGTAGTTTTATTGTCGAGTACTTTCAAACATGGTGCTAAACAGAATGGTCATTTACTGTTAAAAGCTAAATCTGAACGACTTCTTATAATCCACGTTACATGCATAAAATTATCGGAATAAATACACTTTGAATACACAGATATATAAAACATGCAATGAAAAAATGTTATCAAATTAAACATGTCGATTTTAATGAAAAACACGTTATTACAAAACCAATTACTAATATCTTATTTTTCATCTGTGAATTACTCTAATTAAGTATAATTATTGATTATATGTATTTGTATGAGAGAAAGAACAAGGACATTATTGACATGTCTTGTTTTCTAATGTGCTCTCACTAGACAAAAGACACTTGAACAATAGTTTACAACAGGAATAAATCAATATATTAATAAAAGCCTATGTTATTTATACAATTCTATAAATAGTGTTATTATTACATCTTAATTATTAATCTGTTGTTCAGCATTACACAGAAACTTGAGAATGTGTGAACTTGAATTCATACCTGTGATTCCAATGAACTAGATGATGAGTAGCGATTTCGAAGCAATATGATTGATACGTATTCTAGGATTAATACTTATAAGCATTCCCAGAGGACTATAGAACAGCGTTAAACAATTGTGGTTATCAGACTGAGATAAGCCATGTTGAATGGTGCAGACTTCCTATTTGGTTCGACCTCACTAATCCTTTATCGATGGTACTACTAATGTTTCGATCTGCTTTACGATTGGAATTAATTTCTCTCACCTTGGGCTTTAATAATCCCTTCAAATACAATGGCAGTGCGGGTTATAGCAAGCTGGACCGATACACACTTGTTACCGCTCTTACACTACGACTCATTCTGTTCGCTGATAAAACCGTTCCTAATGACATCACGAGCTGGTTTCGAAAAACGTATCAAGCTAGCCAATGGCTTTTACGAACCAAGAACCATCTTATTTGTGTATTTTATTTTAATCAGCTGAGGATCAAATTATCTCAGTGCTGGTTAACTCAACGAGGAAAAGTATAGCACAATAAAGGCTTCTCAAACTGGTCCTTAAATCTAAGGCTTTCAGAACAAATACTGAGGGAAGATATTGTAATCGGGTTTGTGACTGGCATGGAGAAAAGTTTATTTGTATATTACTAGGCTATTATCCGTATTTACTGAACTGATCATAATGTAACGAGAAAGTAGTTAAAGCAGGTTTGAGCCCCGCTCAGCCTTCAGTTTTGACAATCGGTTAGCGTAACGAGCCATCACACAAGAGCCGTGCCCTAAAGTCCACTACTTAGACCTGAATTCAACGACTTACATTACAAAAGTTTAAGTTAATTAGACCCTACTCCAAAAATTAACTTTCTCTGATATTTTGGTTGGTACTGTCGTATTCTAGAAAAGTAGGTATAGAACACCAAATAAATATTTATACGGTGATAAAAGGTGAAACCTTAGAAGTCACGCTTACCAAACATTATGTATATTTTGAACACCCACATTTCGAGTTCAGAGATCTGTACCAAGTACACATTTGTGTATTTAGCTTCGACGATTAGTGATACTATCTGAATGCTCAAACAGAAGTGGGTGAGACGGTTTCACATATGAAGCAACTGTTCTTCATAAATTTTAAGGGAGTTATTTAGCCTCCTAAATCAACAGATATTTCGAAATTGATCGTTTTACTTAATATAACTGAAATAATATAAACTACTGAAACGTATATTTTCTTAATGCAAAAAAATCTCACTTTTTAAGTAGAACATCGGCTAAATACGCTTTCTCGATAAATTTCAAATGGATTAAGAAGAGAGAAAATGGCAAATAACTTTGTTTGCTACCATGCTTACAATACAGATATTTAACGCTGATCATGAAAGAGTATATTTTCAATTTATTTAGTTATATAAACATTGCATATTATAAAACCCAGTATAATTAAGACATTCAATTCTTCAAAAAAATACAATTTAGCATTCATTTCAACAAAACATAATTTATGAATTTTCGGAGTGTCTATACAAAAGGGGGTTAAAGGAAATTCGACAACTGACAATACACTGGTTTATTATGAAGATATCTGATCATATTGAAGAATTTTTAGGAAAATGACCCAGCTTTTGTTTACATTTATTTCCTATTTATTTAAACCGGCAAAAGTATGTGTTGTCTCAAATAATGCAAAAGAGGAAAATATTGTAAAATTTAATCCACAAATCAATGGAAATCGACTCATTCCATCTAAGGAGAACCGCGGAGTTTTTGTGAGCTCCGAAGTAAAGACTCCAAAGCCCGTCGACGTAAAACCTCTTCAACTGATTCATGGGGGTCAATCCTCTACACAAAAAAATAAAAAAATTAACTTTCACAAAATAGAATATAGATGGTTACTACAAAACAAGTGTTATCCTTATTCAGGTCTCAGATAATCTCCAAACTAGTAAATGGATCATGAATTGACACTTATACAGATAAACCTATCTTTTGTAAGTATCAGAAAGTAGACAGCTGACAAGTTTCCCTATGTTTACCTCGAAGATAGGAATATGAAGAATGCTTAAGTTGGTTGTATTTTTATCAATGCTTAAAGTAGTCTAAAATACGAATTTTAGCGTAAGTAAGGAGCTTAAAGGGTTACGAAGAGCCTTGAAAACTTCCTTAAAACAAATCAGAGTGCCAGACCACTAGGTTCGTCGTTAAAAGGTGTGCTAAAGTATACAAAATTTGTAAAAGCCCTTTATACGGGTAATATTGATCGAATCAACGTTCACGTTCAACTATTGTTGGAATCGTCAACTTTAGGTGATCTTCGTTACGGGAGTCCATTATCTCCGTTTTTGTCATAGATATCATCCTAAGAATCACACTCTTCTGTAAACTCATTCACCTACCTGGAGTACGTAGAAGACATACCCCTGTTTAGTGAAGACACTAAGACTGCAGTCTTTTAAATGGCTTTAGAAACAATTTAAGCTCGTACGAGATACATTCCTCCCCTCCTTAATTCAAAGCGTTGCTCTATAACCGGTTTGTGTCAACCTGAACTAATGATAGAGAGTAAAGTAGTTGGGTGCGCCAACCAATCCACATATCTTGGTCTCATTGACTCTGGTGGTTTTGTGCATGATGAAATCTCTACATGGATTCAGAAAACTCGTGTGACTTTTGCTATTTGAGGTTACTTGCGATGTGAGGATGTCCGCTCTGTATTGCTGTGAAACATGGTCTATGAAAATGGGAGACGTACATTACCTATAAGATGTCTCAAGCAATGATTGCATACAGTAGAACCGAGTGACTAATGCTGAGGTTAGGAGTATTTTATTGGCCCAGTCGATATATGAAGCAGTGAATCTTCACTGACAGATTTAGCTGACACGCGTTGCATCTACTCCAACATGTAGTCTTGGTTGGAAGAAAGCTAAGATCAGGTAAGGAGAGCAATCGCATGCATTCCTTTCCTACAAATACTAGATTATGAGTTTCAATATTATGGAAAATTTTACTCCGTGAACCAATTCTTTCTTCGTGAGTCATTTTCTTTGCTTAGTCTTCTACAATCACTGATAATATTATTATTACATTCAGCTGTCCATATTTTTATTTTTATCTAATTATCCTAATTTGATGTGGGCACTTGTGTTGACGCAAATTTCTTGTAAGCGCTACGTTATGACTGAGTGGACAAAGAATGTCAACGACATTCCAAATCTATACAACTTGTCCGACTGGTAAAGTGTAAGAAAGCAGAAAGCATGAAATTCGATGAATATTAAAGCCTCCTGGCAGCTGATATAAAATAAATTCATTTTATTCTGCGAGTCTTGTTATTCTTACTTTGACTAACTTTTTGCAATGACGCTGGGGCAAAAGGCCTAAACTAAATATACGTAACAGACACCAATTGCATATACGTACTAGATCAATTTGTCCTGAAAGGATAGTCAGTAGGGCTATAATTCAAGCAATGGATTACAAGAACGTCTGTATTAAACAACTAGGATGAACAATTAACCTATGATTTAATAACAGTTAGATGACTCTATAGTTTTAAAAGAAGTCCTAGAACTATGTCAGCATGAACAAGTAGAGATCCGAATTTCCATAAATATTTCAGGTTCCCAGGATTACTGTAAGAACAGGTCAAGCTTCTACAGATGTCACAAGTTCTGATTATAAATACTAGGACTTAGAGAAAACGTAAAGCATAACAACCACGTACAATTCTTTCATGTGATCCCACTCACTCATGAGAGTATTCAACAGTGACTTAATGCTTAATTGTTTCTTCACAATGCCAGACACCAAAAAAGCAGGATTCAGATCACTATCGGAGATAAACTGATACAATAATAAAACCCTCGATGAACCAGTAAAGGATCAATATGAAAGTGTTTTTATTCAATTTTTAACCAAACTACATTAATGATAGGAGAGTTTTCGCACTACACAACGTGCATGTGCTACAAAAGTGTAGATGTTATCAACATTCTGAAACGGAAGATTTTGAAAATACATATCAGCCTTCAAGTAAACCCGTTATGAAACAAATTTTTGAAAAATAAGGAATAGTAATAATGATAACAGAAAATGCAACAACTATGCAGGAGGAGCATATACCTTATGTGAATTAGAGCTAGAGGTAGGAGGTAAAGCAGGACCTTCAGGAGACATATGATTTCCAAGACTTTTAGGGTGTTTACCGTTTCTTTCAGATTTATGAGGTTTCGTGGTGGCTTCATTATCACTTTCACTGCTACTGCTACTACCGGTACCACTACTACTACTGCTGCCACTGTCACTATCACTTGAACTTGATCCCGATTCCTCACTGTGTTCGTCACCAGTAGAAGATCCTGAAGTTGTCGAACTTGGGGATGTAGATCCAGAATGGGCTGGGTTTTCCGACCACTCTACGGCGAGTTCAACATCCGGAGGAAGAGCAGGACCTTCGGGTTGAGATACCTCCAGCTCTGGAGGGAGAGCAGGACCTTCATGAGTGGGTTCTTTCTTTGGGATTTTAATTTGTGGCCTTTTAGATTCTTCTCCATTTCCTTCGCTTTCGCTTTCATTGCTACTGGAGCTTCCACTACTACTACTACTACCACTACTACTACAGCTGCTGCTGCTGGTTGATGAGCTGCTTGACGAAGCAGATGCCTCACGTTTTGTACGCTTACTGGGGACTCCTGGAAGCAAACAACAAAGTTGGGGAAGTTAGATTGCAACTTTAATTTAAGAAAATTAAACAACTTTAAAATTATTAAACTATGACACCACATTGATCCGTAAGTCCTGTTACTTGAATCCTTTCAAACTTTCAAGATAGTCATTAGTAAGCATTCAATTAATATTTAACTAAAAATTACGTGGAGAATTGTACTTCCGAAGTAATTTTTCGTCACAAACTGACAACAAATGAAGAACCAATGCATCTTCAATGCAGTGAAATCCATATCTGATATATTGGTAGTGTGTGTTTATCTGATATATGGTTAGTTTTCGCATTCGGAACGATGGATCTATATAATATTATGGATAAAATGAGCTTCCCATCTTTCAAACAAGTGTCACATTCTGATAATGAAAATTCAGAATGGACGATTAACCTATTTGTCTCTACTCCCAGTCATAGGAAATTCAACAAACTCAGGAGGAAATTCTATTACCCTGAAGGTAAATCGTTTGCAACTAATATTATGTAAAATAGTGCACTTTATCGAATACTGATAAACAGCTCATTCCCTGGATTGTACAACACTTACTTTTGAGTTAGTACCATAATTATGTAAGTCAGTCAGTTAGCTACAACGTAGAACCAGGAGCATATATACATCGGTTGAAGTGAGGTTAGACTAAGGGTATTAGGAAATGATGGTAAATCAGTTGATGAAGTTGTGAATCGAATGAGATGGTTGGGCCATGTGTTATGCATGCCTGAACACCGATTACTACGACGCGCATTTTTGACTAGTGTTAGAGATGGTTGAATGAAAGTTGGGGGGGGCGGCCAAACCAAAACATGGCACCATTGCTTAAAGTCACTAACTTCTGATCTGAGCCATATTGGTAGATGCAGATTACTTGGTCGGGGTTCGCGTGACTCGTAACCAATGGTTAGAGACTCTTGGTGACATGGCTCAGAATCGCTCACAATGGCATAGGTGAATACAGTCTTTGTCTTCTCTCAAACAGTGAGATTAGAATAGCTTCATACCTTTTTTTCTATGAAATAATTCTTTCTCCCTGTATCATATCCATATACACAATCCTTCTTTTATATATCACTACTATTGAAGCAACTACTCCTGTGAATTTGGTGTTCATCTTGTTGTGCTAATGAGGTATGGCAACTTGAACCGATGCATATATGCGCCTGGTCCTACTTTGTAGTTGACTGACTGATATTAGTCAAAATAATCCCCCTATAGTTATCACAGGATGATTTAGACCCCTTCTTATATATTGGGACAACCAGTGATTGCGACCAGTCAGACGGGATTACATTTAGTTACCAGATTTTAGCTAAAATATTAGTCAACCTAATCGTTAAAACTGGACCACCATACTTGAAGACCTCTGGAGCCAACCCATCACAACTTGCAGGCACGCTGTAATATTAACGGTCATATTACTATTTGTCACGGTAAATGTGCCCTTGGAACGCTGAAATCACCTTACGAAGTTAACTGAATTATCTACAGCAGGTTTTTATTATCAGTAAACTTCACTACAAACAACTTTATATGCAACTGAGACAAAACTTAGACAATATTGAAAACGAATGAGCAAAATGTATTATATTCACCATAACATTGACAAAAAGAACTAGCTGACCTTCGATTATCCTAGAATCTGAAGGTCTTTTGGAAATATTTGGGGGCAATGACGGCCCTTCAGGACTCGGTAAACGGTGATACTGGCGTCTTTCAAAGGATAAATTTTCGTGTCCAGATGAGGTTTCTCTTCTTTTTATGTGACTAGAGTGGTGACTATGTCGGTGATCATGATCTCTGAGATGCCAATCAGATTCTCTATCGCGCGTGCGGCTTGGTTCTGGGCTTGCGTTGCGACCGTGTGATTCAGCATCATGTCTGTATCTACTAGACGAACGATAATCATAATGAGAAGGTAGGTCAGGACCTTCATATTTTCTGTAGTTTTCAGCAAAACCATCTTTTCTTGATTGTTCTAAACAACCTGATCTTTGATCTCTCTCGTTAACTTCGACTATGTTATGGTGTCGGGATCCAGAATTATGAGTATGCTTGCGAGGTCGATAATAGTCTGCGTTGTGAGACGGAGACCTTTTGTGAGATTTTTGTGAATGACTGTTACCATGTCTTTGTTTATCGTGTTTTTTGGAATGCTTATGGCCTTTTGAACGTTTTTCGTTTCCATAATAACTACTTTCAGGCATTTCCGGTGGACTGCGACGTCTACCGGCCATCAAGTCTTTTCTCCAGTCAGTGACAGGTGATTTCCTATTTAAAAGAAAAAAGTATTATCAGTGATGTACCAGATAAATTTCTACGTGGGAATGCAAAACTTGCTGGACGTGTTAACAAGACTAAAAAAATATAATAAATTTTGACATAATTTTAACATAAAGTGAATTTAAGAAATATACTCATTAAATTGGCATTTAGTATCACTTACGGCTTTTGCACCAGCTTGGAGCGAGATTTGGAACGCTGACGACGATGACGAGTGCGTGAATGTGATCTACGGCGTCTTGTGTCGACCGGACATCTCTCAGGAGAGTGGTGATGACGACGGCGACGGTGTTGTTCAGGGGAACGCGACGAACTCGTTTCATCTCGATGAGCAGTTCGACTAGTTGCTCCATCCTAAAATTCCAGTCATCAAAAGACATTAAGCTTGTTTATAGATGAAACTATTATTCATTAAAAGTTGCATCATAACGTGCCGGCAAACGTTATCAGACTTAATAATAGTGTGTTGGAACAATTGCAAGCAGCTATAAGTCGACATAACATAAAGTGGTATGACGTGAAAGGTTGCAATACCACCTGAATATGAAAATAATGGTACCTACAAATCTAGTTGAGATTAAAAAACAAATGGAAAAGCTATAATTTAAAAATAAAATACTTACGAGTTTCTCACGACTTTCTGTAGTAGTTGCAGGTGGTTGAGGGGCTGGTGATGCTGTTCGTGAAGTAGAACGGTTGCGATTGGTAAAAGCTGGCAAAATAAATACGATGATTCTGATGAGTATACTTTAATCTTTATAGCATCAACTAAGCATGGTAGGAAAATAATTGAAAGTCACATGTGTTTTTAGGATGAAAAGAGCATTACCCGTGGCTAGACAGCTAAATCCGACTTAAAGCCTACACGTGGTGGTCAGGTAGTGAGGGAAACTTTACTAGTTAGTTTGGGCGATCGATGAGATCGGACCAATCCACTACTCTTTTGTAAGCCGAATAAACTGGATTTCACTTTTTGGGACTAAATTCTCGCATGCTGCTCGATGTGTATGCTTATGTACATAAACTGCATGAGTTTCAACTTGTTTGGTTTATGTATATATGCGGGAAAACGTAAGCTGAAAAAATGTCTGCCATATGTTTAATAAAATCACTGGCATAATCCTTCGAATTGAAAACATGATAAAAAATATGGCAGCAAATACTGAGAGATGACCATCAACCTTTACTGAAGGAGGGCATATATCTATTTGTGTTATGAAGTGCGAGGGCCAAAACCTTTGTACTAGTGATATGCATGTAATGCGTGACAGCCAGCTGTATATATATGACTGTACAGCTTGAAAATAAATTCGTCGAAAAGGGATCTTTTCGCTAAAGTTCGTGTTTTAATGTTTGAATGGGGATTGTCATTTGAAGATGGAGATGTTTGATTTATAAGACTGGTGAGTCTTTTTGTCATCTAGATGTCGTGTTGGCAATTTTAGGTCGAAAATACTAAGAATATAATTAGTTGTTTCTGAAATTAATGTTGCAATGTAACAAGATATACTACCGGTCAGTGTGTGGTGTCAAGTTTTAAATGAACTTAAATTTCTAGCTGTTTCACTAATTTAAATTAAGACCATTAACTCCAAAGCACGACAAATAGGTTTATAAACCATCAATAAAGTTTGGTAGACCAGCTCATTTGACGAAGTCGGATAGATTCTCTGATATAAACCAATCGGCTCTGAGATAAATCCGTAAACTGATGACCAGATAAAATCGTATAAAGTATTGAGATAGATATCGTAATATCTGGATTATTGAAAAAACGTAAAGAAAGGCCTAACTATTGGAAAGAAGAATTTAACTGTTATGATTACATTACGCAGTTGTTAAGATCCAAATGATTACCATATGGAGAGAAATCATGACAATTTTGATCATTTTCATTAACATTTTTCACACCTATGCTTCCTTACCAAAGCTCCGAATAAATATATATTCGTATATAAATCAACACCTTAACTAACGATATGAAGTGAAGTAATTGAGTGCACCAACCAATTCATTGGTCAAAGATGTTGCTTGATGTGACTCAATCAGTTACAATGTAGATGCATTTATCCTTTATTTTACCCTACGAATTAAGTTCCAGTATTTCCCTATGTATTGTCCCTTTGAGCATTATCAACGCTTAGTCATTCTCATTGTCTGCCACTACAATACCTTGATTCCTTCGCTATTTATCTTGTAAATTTAATTACACCGTACCAACGTAACATGCCAACTTGGGCCAACGCACATTCGAGTCGAGCTCTAATTTAATCCCAACTGATGACTGACGAATTGCTGACAATAGAACCACTCAAGTCTTTTCTGAAACTTGAAAGGATAGAACCAAGTAGTGAACCTTAAAGTTTACATGTTCATGTATCTGTATCTAGAAACACTTTTGCAGGTTAGATTTAGCTCCTCAAGCAGCGTAGATGCCCCAAGGTCATAGAATTTGTAACCTGTTGTTTGCAAACTGGAAGCTTTAAATATGAGATGATGTGATTGGCAGTCGATAATGTAAATCTTTAGATTATAACATTTTTCTGTCTCATCACATGTGGATACTAAAAGTTTCAGATGGACAACTACCATAAAAGTGCATACTTTCCGGCTCTTCAGATTCTGCTACTCCATTGCTTTTGACAGACGAAACGCGCTTCTGATTATCTATTTGTTCGGAACTCATGTTAGACGTTCGATTAGTTCCTTTCTGAATTAGCTCATTTTCCCTCTTTCTCATTTCGAGAACAAATTTTTCGTCCTCCTGAAAAAAAAGACGAAATAGCATTTATCAATTACTCAACTGTAAGATGACCAATGAAACGATAAGATCAAATATTGACATCTATTTTTTCTGACGTTAACATAAACCAGATAACTCATAGTGTAATTTGTGAGCTTTTAGGTTCAAAACCGATTGCATCGGTTTTGTAATTAATAGATAGTAGATATGTTCATAAGAAAATATAAGGCAGATAGCGGCTTTCGGTAATTCTCCAAAATGCCAAAGTTTTATTTACATCAAAGCTGGTGCTGTCAAAAAAGACATGCACGATCCACTAGTTAGGAATCATAACAGGAAATATCGATTGCTGTTTTTGATTTGAGAAGTGGAATGTTCCCAAAAAACGATTATCTTACGGTAACTAAGATGACATGTTTTTAAGATATCAGTTTTATTCTTGAAGCCTGAGCAACTCATTTACCGGGCACAAATTTGTGTACATGGCTATGGGCCGCAGAGTTGAAGCGGGGTTAAGATCTGCTACTTAGTTGCCAAAAGTCGAACACCTTCACTGAGACATACCTTGAATTTGATGGAATCCAGAATAGTAAACTCCCAAATAAATCATTGTGATAGGAGTGATGGTAGGACAATACGAGGATAGTGTCAACTGTGCACTGTAATTGGTTAGGAAATTAATTTTACTAAATGAACAGATAGAATTCAAACGGTTATTATCGACACACACAACCTAGATTAATATGCAACTAGAGCCTTAATACAGTCTTCAGTAATAAGGATAGTAGGTTGGTGAGCCTGTGTTAATCCTGATGGGCGCCGTTTTCACCGAGTTAGATAGTTCCACACTTTTGACCAATAATAGTAATACCTAAGTAAAATGACCGAATTTATATTTAGAGTAAATTTTGATGGTCAATGAAATAGTAGTTTAGCACATAATCAAGTACAGACTTTGTCAAGTTTTTAACCAAAAGATTACCTGACGCTTTGCGATCTCTTCTTTCTTGGCCTCCAGAAAAGCTGCAGGAACGCCATCCGGTGTCTGCATGGCAGATAACAATAAATCCCATAGTTCGGACAAAAACACCCTCGCATTTTTACTGTTTAAAAATCCCGTTATATTAATCTGGATTTCCTTTGGGTCTGGATGCTAGAAGGAACAGAAAATAACACATAAGTTGGGAAGCGAATACCCAATTAACTGACAATGAGAATTAATTATTAAATTAATAGATTTTCAGACAAGCTCAAATGTGTACCGGCAGCGCACTCAGTGCGTCGCAGGAGACCTGAGTTCCACCATTGTTTGTCGATGTGCATCCCAAAAGACCTGAAAATTTAATCGAAACCAACTTTAAAATTGGAAAAAATGGTCATTATTATAAGTTAATTTAAAAATGGAATAATACAGTATTAACTGGTTTATATATCGTAAGTCAATAAACCCCAACTACGTTAAAATCTATTCATAGCACTATTTTTCAGCTGACATGCTAAAATACTTGTGGTGGGTGACTAAAATATGTAAAAACCTAATTTCAGATGTTAGGAAAAGTGAAGTTACTACAAAATGCTAAGCGCCAGTAACAAGAATAGCTGCTTTCAAATCAGATTTTCTGCGGAGGTATAAGCATCTAAACGACTGGACAGCCACGAATTTAATTTTGGGTGTAGAATAAAAACAGCAATTGGAAACGATGGACATAAAATTCCATGGCGAAAGCGAGATATCCGTTTATCAATTAAGGGACAAGTATACTGCGCGGCAGTTCGTTCTGTTCTACTTTACGGCTGCGAAACATGGCCACTAAGAGTTGAAGATACTCGTAAGCTACTAGTATTTGACCAGAGATGCCTTAAAAATATTACTGGCATCTGCTAGGATCACCGGGTCAGTAATAGTGAGGTTAGAAGCAGGGTATTAAGAAATGATGGTAAATCAGTTGATGAAGTTGTGAATCGAATGAGATGGTTGGGCCATGTGTTATGCATGCCTGAACACCGATTACTACGACGCGCATTTTTGACTAGTGTTAGAGATGGTTGAATGAAAGTTGGGGGGGGCGGCCAAACCAAAACATGGCACCATTGCTTAAAGTCACTAACTTCTGATCTGAGCCATATTGGTAGATGCAGATTACTTGGTCGGGGTTCGCGTGACTCGTAACCAATGGTTAGAGACTCTTGGTGACATGGCTCAGGATCGATCAAAATGGTGAGATTAAAATCGCCTCATAACTTCCTACGAACTAATTCTTTCTTCCTGTACTGTATCCTTATATGCAATCTTTCTTTTACATATTACCACCACTGACTTAACTACTCCTATGAATCCGGTGTTCATCCTGCTGTGCGGTATGGCAACTTGGACCGATGCATATATATATATATATATATATATATATATATATGCCTGGTCCTACGTTGTAGCTGACTGACTGATGGCATACATCGGTATAAATGTAATACTCAGCATCGTAAACCCCGAACAAGCTGTATCCACATAGGAAATCAAAATACCGAAAACTGATTGGGAAATAACACGATAACGTACAAACAATGTACAAAGAATGCAAAGTTCTTGATCCTTTTTACTTAATGCAAATTTCCCTTAGTTTCGACGTACAGCAAATCACTAATATGTCAGCTTCCACACATGCGTACTTTTACTACTTAGAAAGATGTCAGTATTGAAAGCTTACCGATCTGCTAATGCCTTAAGAACAGAATGAGGCATGACAAATAACAGCTCAGTTCAATGTTTCCAGTTTAAATAACTGATTATCTGCCCTCGTTCAGAATGCACATACAAGAAGCACTAATCGTATCAGTGCGCTGATTCGGTATGGTAAACTAGGTCGATGCACATCTGTTCCGTTCTTACGTTTAGGAAGGAACAATACACACCATGACTATTAGTGCATGTTTGACCTTAAACAGGTAACAAAGCTAACTAATTTCATAAAAAGACGTATCCCAGAATTACGACGTGTCTAGTAAACAGTAAAATACCTGACCGCTTTTTGCAACTTGTTTGTAGGTGGCTTTTACACACGAAATTCGAAATGAGTAACACTATGGTGAAAGCAAACTCCCGGTAAGTAGGTGTTTAATGACTAAAGTAGCCTACACATTCGGCTTTTGGACAAAAAAACCTGGACTGAAAGTAGTTGTCTAAGAGAAACTCAGGCCTTTCACCAAAGAACTGCGCAGGTGATAGGTTGATCAAGACGAACACTACATTGATTATTTAAGTAACTATTTCTAATGACCCAGAGTCATCTGACGAAATTACTCAGCGAACGGAGGCAAGCCATGATAATAGTTAAATCCTGATCTAGTCTTAACCACAACTAAAGTTGCTTCTATGATTAATTCAGTGTTAACAACGAAAAAAGTAAGCAAACTTACGCGCTCCTCCAGTTGGTTGAAAATGTAGTCACAGACGACCTCATCCTCAAAGTTTAAAAGCTCTGTTATACGTTTAACAATCCATGGTCTTATAGACTCCAAATTAATTTTGGACATGTCAACCTGGAAATAAATGACAAATAGAGCTCATGCCTTTTGAGCCAAGTTTTCTCCGAATTTCATAGTTTTCATTAACTTTTTCTTTTTATCAGCGAACCTGGCATCTTGCTCAGCACTTGTACCCTAAACACCGATAGAAACAATTAGGAAGCTAATAAGGAAAACCTTGAAGAAGCCAGCGTCTGTCATAATCCCGGTGTGATTAGAAAAATAGTGTTACGTCCCGTCCGGCGGATTAAACAAAACGCGTTCAATCGCCAATGTTATACGAAAAGATTGAATTATTTTCACTATATTTTCTTATCACAGTGATGGTTCGACCGGGATTATAAATGTCTTCGAAAATACTTAGCTCCAAAAAACTCTTCATGATGGTTTATTCATAGAGCAGTTAGATACACGAAACAGAATATTTTCAGCCGTCTGGGTTTTCAGCGAACTCCAGATTTTAGAAAATAAGAGAACACAGCGTTTGTTATTATGTACTCTCTATTTAGAAAGAATGATATTTTTCCTCGTTGGGTTAAATTTACTGTCTTGATTGTAAATTACGCATCAAAACTACTGTTTACACTTTAAGTGAATTTCTTTCAGTTAAGTTGATTTCTTACTTGTGTGTATTAACTTTTCTTTTGTGTATTTATTTCATCAAAGCATGCTTAGGCGAATTTGAATTGATTCATTTTGGTTTGGGTTTGAGATTTATTTAAATCCATTTCTGTGTTTCCATTTTCGCTTGATTTTTTAGATGATCGGCTCTGCTCACAAACGTGGAGAGCTATATTGCTTATTCCTTCCGAAGAAAGGAATACAATGTGATGAGAGTAATGAGTGGTTCCATATGATCTATACCCTCTCAAACTTCACTGCCTATAAAAGGTGCTTAAATCCTGACTCCCATTGGCCTTGTACGTTTTGTCGTTCGGGCAAGACATTACTCATCCAATGAACAATTAGCCTTCTAGCGTTGGCTAAAAAAAGGTTAGTGAGGGTTGTACTGGTAACGTGTTTACTTATAGTGAAGAATAAGTCAGTGTCATAAGTTCTGTTACGGCATGTGCCAGGCACCCGGCTGTGCAACATGCAATAGGGACTTTTATCTCGAAACAATTAATGTGTGAAACACCACTGAATACTGGTGGTCAAGTGCCTACAGAAGTGACTGATGACTCAGACAAAACTGTTGTCTTCCCGACTGGTCCCGATTTGGATGGTGCGACTGGTGGAAAATGGATGGTGTGGAAACAAAGAAAGGAGTAAAAGATAGCCAAATAGCGCCCATTTAGTCTCAAAGTTGTTGACGGACTCACATTCTGCATTGCAGATTACTCTGCCCAAGTTCAAAAGTAAGAAAATATTTAACCTTATCGTAGATGGAAAATGTTTGTCCTCATCAAACATCGTTGCGAGTCATCCGCTCGACTCCCACTGCTCTGTCACAAGAAAAACCAATGGTAAGCTCCTAGCAGTTAACAGGCAGGATATGACATCACTATTTAAGGCTGCGAACACGACTTTCAAAAAAGTTAAGTCCGTTCCTACCCTGATTATTTGAAATCTATAGGAGTTGGAGGACAATAACCCTGCTTAAATGTATGCACGCGATCTGAAGTTAGTGAAACCTGCCATCAGAAGTATAGTGCCTGAAGAGGTTTCAGGAGTACATATCACGAAAGTAATAGGACTCGGTTGATCTGTCTCAGATGAGACCCGACCAACCGGGAATTTTGAAGGAAGAGACGTAATACTGAACAAGGCATACTAAACTCGTAATCCAAATATTCGTATCCGATCAGATTGGCCGCTTGAGGATCGAATCAAGTAGAAGAATGCCCTTACGGGGTCAACAACTGGAAGGCCAAATGGCAAAATGAACCTTACAGTTAGGGGTTGTCATGTTGTCAGGTGTTGTTAGTCAATGTTTTCGAGCTCTGTATGGGTAGAACGAATGATTCTTAAAACACCTTAAATATGTGCTATGTGAACGCCCTTAGTCTTCAAATAAAACGTACGAGCTAAGTTTGATGGTGGATGAATAAGGTTCCGACACAATTGTTGTCACGTGCGTGCAAGAGAATAATGCATGAATATTCCTGCATCCACCACCGTTGACCTTCTCTCTGTGTCAAATGTTTAGTATCTATTTTCCCAGTTATCTCGTGGTCATTTTTGAGGATTTTGTTGTTAGGACCAATACCACTACATGGTTACAGTAAGTCACGACTTGAGAACAACTGCGTATTGCGACGCAGCAGATGCCAAAGTGTTTCATGCATCATCATCATTTAGCTAAGCATACAAATGCATTCATCAGGTGTTTTTACTATTATATACCGCCTATGCAAGACCACACTTAGAGTGTTGAATCCAAGCAGATGGCTCATGTGTGATCAAGGACCCTAACTCACCTGAGCGTGTCCAGCGTGTGAGAACGAAATTAGTGAAGTCTTCCTGAAATCCCTTACGATGGGCGCTTAAAACGCCTTAAACTTTTTCCCTTGTCGTATCGTAGGAAGCGAGGTGACCTTATATTGACATTTCGACTGGCTTCGGAATTTTTCTCAGCACTTCATCATTTTTGAACTGTGGTTTGACTGTGTTTTGGGTCTTTCGATGTGAAGTACAAGAGTGCTGTTAAACAGTTAGGTCGCGATAAGTATAATGAATGGTAACTTTTTGGATCCATTTATAGACCGATAACATGCGTATATTTCTATCGTATATTTGTTAAATAACTAAATTGTCCATATTCATGTCCTGCTTATTATGAGCTTTATTTTGACCTACGAACTATTATTCTACGATCTACAATTCTTGAATTATGCTCTATTTATTAATTACTAGTTCCCTCATTCGCAGCCATATTTGGCTAATTCTTGTACAAATGGTCCGTTTGGTTGGTATATAAACCAAGTATGCTTGAAATAGATTATTCATATTGCAGAGGCTGAGATTGGTGTTCTGGACGTAACTAGCTGGGCTAGGCGGAGAGCAGGACCAATCAGGACTCTAGGCTGCTCGTACGGGTTCTACGCGTCATCGGTCAGATCGATAATTCACTGCTTTTGATTGGCGGTATCGTTACGTTATACATTAACAGGCCACAAGTTATAAAACAAACCCTGAATGTCCGCGTCATATTTAGTGGCAGCAAAGTTATGTCAACGTTTTATCATAATCTTTTAGCTGATAATTAAATCACATATGTGTAAAACATTATTTTCATTTTTGCCTACATTTTCCTTTGACTTCCTTCCATATACATTGTCTGTTGATTTGTGAGTAGGCCTGACAAGGAGAACTCGTATGTGATTCTCGTTTATCAAGAGATTATGAAACTGTGATGAAAAAAGATCTGAGAAGAATGTTTTCTATAATGATGACTTATTGTCAACCGTTCGGCAGAATTCATAATTACTAGTTCCATGTTTAGTTTTAGTTACATGCATACGAACATGGATACGTACCTGTTAACCGTTGACCTTCCCACAAAAATTCTGTTACTTTTATATTACTGGACTATAACCAGCATTCATCTCTGTTGTACCTGAACCCTCGGAGTTGCGTATGGAGTCAACTTGCTCTCCCTAGGTTATCCGGAATTGTAATCATCATATGTAACGATCAATTTGCTCATTGTGCCTCTCCAAGTGACATGGAAGTGAGTTATCCAGGAAAGTATTTTTTGAAGGAACTTCGAACAGATTTTTGATTCGTTGTTTAGACCAATGCCTACATGTTTTATTGAAATATGGAACTATCTTTTATATTCCTGTATATGTGATTATTTTTCCTCAAAAAATATCTGAGACTGTTTTTGTGCAGAAATTTTATTCATGTAGCACGTTATATACATCAAGTCTCTTTCCTACCTTTTGTTCGCCTACGTACGTTCGATTTTATTTTGACGGGCAACCACAGTTTCATTTCTTTCTTGGCCAGAACGACTGAAAAAATTTAAAAAGAACTCATGACGAATACAATACATTGAACTTTTCATTGAAAGTTTTCTATCATAAAAATGTACCACATGGCACTTGAGATTAGACCAGACTCTACTGGACAATAAATGCTATCAGAATATTATTTAAGAACAGCAAGCTCATTCGGTTTCAATCCATCGTACGATAGCTGATCAACTTAAATTCTATAGACAACGTTAAATCAATCCATAGTTTAAATATACCTTGTATAACATCATACTGGACTACTGATTGCTTTGGCTTTGGGACCATTCAGGAAGATCAGACATAAACAAAAAGTCTTTCAGACTCTGAGTTCTTGTTAACCACTCTAATAACATTTTCAATTAAATTTCACTAGTCCTTAGACTGATGATTCATCATGCTGAATAACTTCCGTGTCAGACGGCAAAACACTGATTGTTGGGCAGTTTATCAAACATTGTCAAGGTGTAGAATGACGACGACCAATGAGTTCCACACCATGGACTTAGGTATGAGACAGTGGTTGCAGTGTGATTTTATCCAAATTTACTAATGATTTTCTTCACCAATTTCAAGTTCATGCTGTAGATTTCTCAGAGAAAACAGTACGTATGCATCACGAAAAGCTTGTCTCAATCATCCGAATAGATCAACAGGAGAACTGTTCTTAAAATCCTCTGGTAGTGTTTTTTATTTTTGCGGACTTTTTGTTTTCTTAATCTCCTCATTTGTCACGTACCTTGCCTTTTACCCAGGACCCGTGTAACCATGGCTGCATATTTATAAATAATTTTGTCCTGGCATTTATCACGAAACTTTAGCCAACATCTGTCCTCCTCATTCAATTTTGTTGTTGATTGCTGCAAACTACTGATTGACTGTAATGTTGTGTTTGACAAAAGTCGAGGTTACTATGCGGAGCCGTTGATCAGTGTTGCTCTATGACCGCCTGATAGAAACGGTTATTAGAATCTTTTCACACCCCATTTTGTAGGGAATACTTTTAATGATTCTGATGTTCTGAGTTATTAACTATCAACCATTCTTCTTCATGTTTAGTATGTCATCTTATGCTTGAGAAATGTCTGTACGTGCAGCAAAAGCTAGACCATCTGAGACATTTAGTGCTATTGGCATGATTTGTCTTGCTGCTTGATCGAAATCAAATTGATAGAACGGTGTTTGTGACGTGTGACTCAAAACACCTTCACTAATTACGAAGAATGTGGTCCGCTTTAATTG